TTGACGAACGCCACTTATTGTCTGAAAGATATCCGACAAGGCACTGTACAACCAGACGCGGCCCGTAGTGTTCGAGTACTGACAACGCACATTGTTCATATATATAATGGGAACACCTTTCCGCACAAGTACTTTGAACAGAATGCATAGATCTGCTGAGTCAGACGCATTGTAAAGATCCAGGAACACTGCCACTGTCGGTTGGCAGCACATATGCGCTGCTCTAACAACTGTGCAGAGTGCATGTATGGTCGATACATCCCTGATATAGGCGAAAGCCTGCATGCTCTTTCCTCATCCGGGATTCCCCTTAAGCAGTGAGGCTAGTAATTTCGTCACAGTTGGTATTAGACTAATACCTCTATGACTTGCACTGTCATCGTGACTGCACATTTCATACAATGCCACTACAATCAATTCACTACAGTTGGCTGAGACGAATTGCTCGTTCCAGATCCGTTCGAACAATGTGTTTTTGCAGAGGACCTCACCACCATCCATAAACAGTGCGGGTGCAATGGAATCAAGGACAACAGCACAAACACGATTAAGGGCTGCGACCGCGCTTCGGACCTCAGCCTCCGATGGAGCCACTAAACTAACAGGACATGGACATACCTGCACCACCTGAATAGGAAGGTGTCCAGCAGAGGAAGGCCAAGTGAACTGCTCTCGAAAGTACCCCGCCCAACGAGTCATACGGCGCATCTTATTGTGAATTAGGGTACTTGCGATGTTTCTGATTGCTTCGCTGACATTTGGGACAAGTGTGCGGATCTGTTGGAATAGCTTGCGATAATTACCTACTGCCCCTGCCTCCTCCAATTCTTAGGCGATACTGGTCTACTGGGCATTCTTGTCAGTAGGTGGACGTCAATTTACTTACGTCTAATAGTTCATTTCGTCAAACAATGCTCAGAGCCAGTCGGGAGTTTTTCTCTAGATTCCATTTGGTTCACCGACCTCTTGGATATCCAGTGACTGGTGCGGTGACGTTCGATAGTGCCGCAAACAAAACCTCAAACTTTTTGAACGTCAGCTGAAAACCTATTCCATTGAAGTCATCAAGACGAAAGAGTTAACTTCTGGGACGTACTACATCTTGGTAGGCTTGTCTGACCAAAGACAAAGATAACATTTCAGCAGCCAGTCGAGTGGGCGCTTGATCCGCCCCGTGGTAAAGTTCGTGGAAAAAAGACAGCGCACAAAAGCATGTTAAGGGTGGATGCAAGTATTCTACAACGGGCGACAATGCAGGATGAAACCATGTCACCTGTAACATACGGTAACGTAATACATATGGGGCCATCGCCGGGCAGATACAGGACGAAACCACATTTCGGTGCCCATTGTAACTAAAAACGATGCTGCTAAGAAATAGTCGGTGCACAGCGCATAGTTACAACAGACACTTGCGCTTGTCCGTACGGTTGGAGTTAAGCCGGTGCCTACCCACCAGCTGAGCTTCTGAAGAATACTTGCGTATTCATATCCCCCGCAAGTACTATGATGGCTGAACTGGTAACACTGCGTATTAGCGCGTTCAGTTCGCTGTAGGTTGCGTCCTTGATGGCATCAGAACTGCAGTCGGTGGGGACATAAGCGGACGCAGCAAACAAACGGCGTCTTGCACTACTTGGTGAATCAATCTTGGTCGATGTCGTCAAACGAACTGCACGCAAACGGCTGTTCATCGGAATCCAGTCAAACAACTATGACAACCCTGAAGCTGAGTACGACATCTACCCCAGCTTGACCAGAGGCTGCCGCATCAGTGTCTCCGGATGCGTGCAACTAATAGCGAGAGGACAAGCCGGGTGCAGTTAATTCAACAAACCCGTGGAGATCATTTATCACACGTTCGGGAACGCGACCTACTTCCATACCCAGTGTGTCCAGTGTGCGTGCGAGTGCAGCCCGTTGACCTAGATATCTTAGAGCACGTATATTGAATGCCGCCAATGAAACGAGACATTGTGACCATATAGGGGACTGCTGCCGATAGGCGTACAGTGAGTGCTGAGGGCGTGTAGCTGCGGACGGTACTGTAGTGGTGCGGAAGGCAACAATCACAGGTGGAACAGACAAACCGCGAAAACTGTGGAAGATGAAAAGTAACGAGCACACGGAGGACGAAAGTTGAGACCTACGGGACGAGAAGAAAATGTACAACCAGTGACAAACGCTTTCAGGCCCAGGCCGAGAGGAGTAGGTAACGTATTGATGGACAGCCCGAATTTCCGGAGGAATACGCCTTTGACCGCGCATCCAGGATTAACCACGAGAAGAGTGACGCAGCCCCAATTAAGTAAGTCAAGGGCATTAGAACGAATCCAGCCCGGTCAGAATAGGACTGCGGTAGCTAAGATACAAGGGCAAATCGGTGGGCAGCGATTTCGCTGATCAGCTGAAGTCGGGGCATGAATGTGACACCGAGCAAAAAGACAATGTATGGTACGTTGTGGTCGGGATCTGACGTCTATACATGCGCGCTTGCGTGCTACCCTGTGAACCCATTGTGCGTTGGCACTAAAGACTGTGCGCCTCTACCGCTCGTTTTCGTTGCAGTATGAGTCCAGTGACACTGCGGCTGTTGTAAATTAAGCTGGGAACTACAGTGGGTTAGTTAGCAGTGGGGGGATCGGAAGGAGAGTAAGAGAAACAGGTTGAGAATAAGGAAAGGAGACGCCTGCAGTAGCGTGTTTCGCTTATTCGTCTTGCTGCATGAAACAGATAAGGCAACCCATAATAATCTGCGCGATGGACTATGCAGGATTTGCTTGTAGTCTGATGAAGCAGTTATGCACATATACCCTGCAAGGGACAGGACTGGCTTGTAAAAGCTTTGCGATAAGTGTTCAGGTAGTGAGTAGATAACATTGAAGCCATTCTCAGAGGCTGGAGCGTCACGACCAACATAACTGAGCTGTTTGGTGAGTTTATGTCGCCTTCCTAAAACCAAGAGGATGTGCTCTAGAATCTGAGGTAGGTACCTTGTGGTGCGACCCAAGTATGGTGCGCCTCAGGAGCACAAGTGTGAACAGCTGTTGCCCAACGGGTCATCGAGGACAGTCCATCTTACAAGGGTTCTGACAGCAATCCTTTATTATGGTGAACAATTTGCGAGTGGGTCTCAAAACCAGTTTTCTCAATCTCGTCCAGCGATCGTCGGGATAGAATATCAGAAGTAAAATCGACTTTACATGTTAAGTGCATGAACATTGCTTGTAAGCAATGCTTCCCGGTGGGTATTATTTGCGTTCCTACAAATGCCTCGTTATAAGTTTTTCCTGGTAGCCATTTTTCCTCAGGGGGTCGCTGACTGTCTGTATTTCTTCCTTGACGATAACCGATGTGGAAATACCGCGTGGTCTAAAGGCAAGCGATCGCACCAAACTTCTGTTTTACTGTAATGACGCTGCACTGTAAAGTTTGTGTATTGCAGAGTCCATGGATGCTTTCTGAGCACTTTCCGGCTGCAGGATCCCTCAGAGTTACGGAACACTTTACATCCAGTAACGGTAACCAGTTGTCGAACTCAAGTTCGTAGGTGAACGTGCAATCGTATGCTTGTCATCAGAAGTTTTCAGCAACGGTACCGCTTGCTTTCTCGATTTGTAAAGTACCGACGTACCGACAATACAAGATTACTGATGTGCATTCTAAGTTGATCATGTTTTATTTTTGCCTTAAGCATATCAAGCAACAGAGGCACCAAAGGAGATCCGTGATCACTACATCAATTTGACGATAAATCGTATCACTGTAGGTGAAGTTGACATTTAACGTGTAACGAAGGAAAAACTCATCGGCAATTTTTCAGGAGACGTTTCGTAAACGTGCAGTGGCTGAATCAGTGCAATCGATAATAACTAGCTTATAAGATGGCAAAAGACAGTTGTTTTGCCTGGTGTCATCCCAGGCTGGACTCACTGCAGTGGTGTTTCGTAGGAAGGGGCCACTTTTTGTGGAGCCTAAAAGCCGAATGTGAGAGGGTCTCTTTTCCGATTGGATCACAGATTGAATAAAATATTGTGGGCATGCTACAAGGTAAATAAACAGATGGCATATAATCGTAGACCCGAAAATTCACCCAGGTGTTTGCCAACAGACCGGTTCAAATTTGAGTTAATGTACACAGTTATGCAATGTTAACATTATTATGTACGAATATACAATCCTTGCACCATACCCATAACAACAATCACCAGGTAGGCCATACATATCGTAAACACTTGACCAAACAACCGAACTTTTGAGTAAAGTAGTGGCCAATTAAGAGATGTTTCGACTGAATGATCTAAATGCTGTGTTTCAAAACGAAAGGGTGCGTGCGACTCCTCAGAAAATATAAAGCGGTACCATCTGAAACCGCTGAAGTGTTTTTCCAACCAACAATAGGTAGCTAGATTTACAATGTGTCATTTTAGTCCCGGTATTTATGATGGACCCAAATTCTATCAACTAATGACCCTTTTCTCTATACAACTGTGCACGTGCTTACTACTCTTTTCGTGGCCGTGTTATTATTGGCTACTATTTGATTCCCGTATTTCATGTCGTGGTTGCTCATTAAGTTTGGCTTCAATTATTAGATCAACAGTAGAGTATCTATACAAATTTGCATACGGTCAAGCAACGGTGCCCTTAATTTGATTTTGGAACCGAGATATTTTACTGAATAAGCACGTGAGCATCGAACGTAATTACTGGACCAAATTACTTTCTACTTTATACAATACGAATGTACTTTATCGCAAAAATGGCATACTTACTCGGTGGTGTCTCCTGTGGCACCAATTCACTCCGGTGTTCTTTTCGCTTAACACAAAACAAATGTAGATAAGAGGTAAATGCTGGCGTTGTTCCAAATAGAAACACAGACAATGTATGTAACCGTGTGCCCAAACACAGCCAGGTGCGAGAAAAGCTAGTGCCCAAAGAGCGATTTAACGTTCTGCTGTGTATTTTATTTCGGTACAAGGAGGAGCATCACTTACGGAAATATGCACTAATGAATGGAATCTTGGGCTGACGACTGCCCCAGCAGCCATAGGTCGAATAGTGTCCAGTTGGCGTTCGCTGATTGTGAATCGGAATCCCACAATGTCATCGTTCGGAATGAGATAATCATAGTCCTCTGGATCGAGGGTAAACTTCATTGTGGTGACTGGAAAAGGTTTAGGAATAAAGTAAATGTCTCAGGTATTGGCAATACGAAAGTTTTATGTTTCCACAACGCTGCATGACTGATTAGTACATCTTACTGCAGCGATTGGTGTCCGTTAGAGCTTGATAGCAAAGTTCGTTGCTATCATTCCCCATAGGATGGCTCCCTGATGCCTAAAAGTGTCCATTAACTTTGCCTCAAGTGATTGGGGCTTTCACTATGAGCGAAATCTATAGAAACCATACGGAAGTTCTAATGAGAAAGACCTAACAGTCAACCACAGCAGCGTCACTCGGAGAATAATTGTACTGTTAAGTAAGCAAGACAGGTTATTCTAACTTGATCACAAGAAAAATAGGATCAGTGATGTTCGATGAATCAACAAGAGCTTCGCATGGTTTTTTGGAAACTGATGAATACATGATAAAAGACACGATCTCCTTCCGCGGTAAACTAATGCTTTGTATTGTCCGGAGCCCCCTGGTGGCACCCAATACTCGTTTGTCTGCCCACATTTGCCTATATGCGGGTTTACTTTACAATCTTGGGGACAATTATACCAACAATCGTTGTGCTACCTGGAGGAAGTTCGCAGTGGCTAAATGGAGTCAGACAGCAACCACACATTTGGAAAACCGCTGCACGGTCGACTCATCTGTTTGGACTCGTCATCCAGGCGCGTCCAGGTAATCTTGCTGGATCAGAAATCACGACTACTCTTATCGGTTAGTTATGTAAGCCCCCACTATTGCATAACTAGCAGTAATCACCTGAGTAGCCTACGTGCCACCTTGAACGGTGAAGCCTTTCAAAGTAAGCTGTAGGTCTGGGGACCAGTTTTCTCCTAGGACGTCCATAAGATGCATAGCGGTGGATAAGGAATGATCCATAACGATAAGCACACTAGCTGGTGGTGCTGATGGGAGTGTCATACAAGAGTGAATAGATGCGCCAACCAACCGAACAAGCCAGACAGCCAATGGGAGATGGGCATAACGGATGAGATTATTAGACACAGATTGGCCAACATGCGTATGAAGTACACACCGTTTGTTTAACTGAGTCAAAGGGGAACCTCATCGACTCAGAAGGGTCATTTGCTATGGACGTGAACCTGCAACTTATGTCGAGGAGTTTGGTTTGCTAACCATGCTGCCATTTTCCCCGAGATAACAATGCTGAAAAAGGCTTGTCGCTGAAGAACCGAGTACTGCAACAGTGCTATCCTTCATAAACGTTATCTGGACACTTATACGCTCACGCAAAGGTGCTGATAATGTCCACGTGATTGGTGGTGAAACTTCTGAAACCGCGATGATAACCTACTCCGCAGCCGATCCGAGCTAATGGCACTTCTAGTAACACCTAAGGCTGTGTCTTATTCGTTGTCTACACGCTCAATGTTTCCAGAGACAGAAAAATAAGTGTAGCCTTATACCTGGAATATCAGTAGACGACGTGGCCTTGCAACTAACTTAATAACGACGTTGTAACCGCCGGTGTTGCGCATGTCAGCCCACTGACTCCCGCGACATGCATTGTTTGCGCGCCGGGAGGCGCAGCAGGAAGAGAAGCAGGGGAGGCCAAGCGATGACTTGGTCGAGAGAAATGGAAACCTTCATTTCGAAGTTGGCGTCGGTTGGTGCATCCCGACTGCCTGGCTGGGGTCCTAAGGACAATGAACACGTTTGGTTGGACACACTTGCTGATATGGCTAGGAGCCGGCCCCAATGGCGTTTGTGTTGTGAATTCCTTTGTCCATCCCCTCCTGCTTAGCATCCCCTCCAATCATGATCTCACTCGTTAGGCATAATATAACCTTTTGCGGTACGATAGCCGGCTGTTAGCTCTTCGGAACGATGTCCATCCGTTACTGGGGACTTAGCCGGGGAGTCACTGTTGTTTTTTATTGTCTTTTGTATTACAGCTCAATAGTTGAGGTGTTTTCCACCTGCAGCTAATGCGTATGATGAATGAATGACTGAATGTGACCGCCGATCATAAGAGTTAGAGGCAAGCGATTAAACGGGAGTGCGCTGTTGGTCTTCTGACGACAATCATTAGGTGAAGAAAGCCAAGATCTGGAGTGTAGTTAAGCATACTTCTCCAGTCCAAGAATTGGATAGTAGTGAGGCTACATAAAGCATTGAAAGTGTTTAAGACTTCTCAGGTACTACTAAACCCTATGGTGTGATTAACAGTTCATAGCACTGTCAAGGTGAGCACCCAAGAAGATCAAACATCAATAGTTCAATGATTAATAGCGTATGATCAGGTAAAACGCGAAATTGAAGAGACGCACAGGATGGAAGTGCAAAGAAAAATTAGGATCAAAAATGCTCCAACGTGTAACGCGAATCATCATTAGTAAGAACATCGCATTTGAACACATTTTTAGTGTTTAGTACTAAGATGAAAGTCCAGCAGTCTCTCGAATGTCGCGATTTCCGCTGCGTTCGCCACAAATGTTGGTACTGCATTCTAGTGTGAACAGATTCGAAGAAAGTAAAATTACTTCCTACAATCCAAACGAGAGTGCTAGGTTACTACTTTCAGGTGATGGACCCGACATTGTTTGTAAGGGGCTAGAGTCAACAGCGCTGTACATGGATGCTCGATTTCAGCTAGTGTCCAGTATGTGAGAACGAGATTTCCGCGAAACCGTAGATATTCTGAGGAGAACACAATGAGTAAACGAAGGCGCAGTTCGTAAATGAGACCGGATAGTCTACGTGTTGCCTTGGTGACTCTTCATTCGAGCTTCTCCAAGAGAGGAATATCTCGTTTTATCCATGGGCGCCAAGCCTGAACCGTATATTCATCGTGGGGACGAAGATATGTGTTGACCAACAGTGGTACAGGCTGTCGTTCGAAAGCGCCGAAAACTCGCCACAAAAGCATCAATTTCAAGTTCGCCACAGTTGTTGTTTTCGAACATTGGAGCAAATTGTCAAGACTTTCTTGAACGATGAGACCTAAGTCTCGTTAACCTGTTGCAAATTTTTCTATCCCAAAAGATATGTGTTGATGAAGCTGCAACGCATCGTCAACGTGTAGGGCTTTCTAGGGTTCAGTGGTAGCTGATTCCTTTCTGTCCATTCGCTAATCTGGTCCAGATGGTTCTGGAGATAGGCACGGTCAAATGCTGAGGGAATTGCTCTCCATATTTTAGCATCGCTTGCGAATATTTGCATCGGGGAGATAATGCTTTCTGGGAGTTAATTTACGTAAACTAAAAACAGTAGCGGGCCGAGGACGGGTCCTTATGGTACACCACTGGATACGCAACGGCTTTCGGAGTGAGTGTCGGCTATTCTTACCTTTACCATCGCAATGAGGCTAAACCATACCGTGGTGAGATGGTTTGCGTGCCTCAGAGATCCATTGAACTATGCTGGGTGGTGCTTTTTGCACCTTCAGAGCCACTCATACCAGATTGGTCAATGGTTAGGGGTCAGACAAACTCAGTCTCATGGTAATCTAAGTTGGGGGTTGGAATGAGGTGGCTTCTTGTTCTTTAAAACGGACTCCTTGTAGCTTAACGCCAAACATGCTGCTTTGCGGTAAGATTTTTGAACCAAAAGCTTTGGTTGAGAACCCTAATCGTTCTCCTGTCTGGGTCTGGGCAAGCTGAAATTATCCTGCTCACGCAATACAATGAATTTCTCTTCAGACAGTTTCTTCATGCTCTGGCCACCGCAGAGCATAATCAGTTGTGCCCTATATGCTGCATCGACCAGGGTGGATAGTGGTTTAGATGCTACTGCTCAAGACTACCCATCTTGTTACTCCTCCTTATGCTATTTCTTTCCTACCGTCCCGTTTCAGCTTCACTTTTATCCCCCCAGTTTTCAACCCCCTAATTCTTGGCTCTAACCCACCTTGTTTTGATAGATTTCACCTTTTAGTTTCAACTAACATGTGAACGCGGAGCGTCATTCCTGCCCTGTCAACAGGCCCATGTCTAAGCAAGTGGCCAAGCCCAGTTCATCGGCTTCCATTTGGAGCCCTCGATCATTCTTCAGATTGGCATGTCTCAATGTTCGCACATTGCTTCAGCTCGGTCAACAGGCAGCACTTGCCCGAACATTAGAGACACTCTCGATCGATATCTGCTGCTTATCGGAGACCCACCTGCAAGTCTCCAGCTATGAGCTCACTTTGCGATCTCCTTCAGGTGACACCAGAAACACTTTCTCATTGCGCTTATCGGGGGACAATCAGCTTCGAGTACCGGCCAAGACGGCGTTGGTATTGCTCTGAGTCCACGGTCTGAAGCTGCTCTGGTTGACTGGATCCCAATCAGTAGCCGCATGTGTGCAGTCCGATTGGCTGGATTGTACAAAGCTTGGAGGTCGCGCGAGACTAACAGATGACTATTCGTTACTGCTGCCTGTGGACCCTCAAACTCTAGCCATGATTCGGTAAAAGACGACATCTATCGCCAATTGATCTTGCTCCTTCGCCACAGAAGAAGCACAAACACTGTTGAGCTGGCGGGGGATATGAACGTTCAGGTTAGAAAATTATCCACTGATGAACTGCAACTGGGTGGCCAACATGGTGTAGGCTCCTGTAAAGATAACAACGTTCTGTTACTTCATTTGTGTGAAGATGCACGCTTATTTCTTGCGAGTATTAATTTCCGACACAGCACCCGCCGGTGGGTGACTTGGCGTCCATCGATCTCGAACCAGCCTTGGACGCAGATCGATCACATTGCAACCAGTTACCGCTGGAGAGGTTGCATCCAGATCTGTCGCTCGATTTGGAGCACATGTGTGGACACCGATCATGCACTTGTACGTGCTGATATGCGGATGCCTTTTGGCGGACGCTCTAGACGACGTTGTGAGCGCATTGACCCCAGCAAACGCGAACCCAGCTGTTTTGAATGCCTATCAAAGTACACTGTCATGAGAGCCGAGTAAGCGTTCACTGGATGCAAATGAAGCTCACTGGTCTCATATTCACCAGCAGCAGGAAAATCCC